AATCTTTCCTCAAAGGTGTAAAATTATGGTACCTCTGTCTTTCAAACGACAATGGCCTCCCCTGCCACCCTGGCATACATCAAACTCCCGACTGCCGAGGAGTATGGAACATCCGCCATAACTTCTTTTTCTTCTTGACTCGTAGGACAACTTCGTTTGCTGAGTTTGAAGTGATTGGCTAACGGTGTATTGACCGACTTAGCCGATTTCATGTTGAATCTCTCCAAAATCCGATTCACATACCGTTCTTGCGATAACCATAACCTCTTGGATTTTTGGTCTCGAATGATCTGCATGCCCAAAATTTGTTTCGCAGGGCCCAGATCCTTCATTTCAAAGGACTTTGCTAATTCCTTCTTCAAATCACCAATCAGCTTCATATCATGTCCCACTATCAACATATCATCTACATATAACAAAAGGATAATGATTTTATCACCTGGAAATTTCTTCACGAACACATAATGATCTGCATCAGTCTTGGTATATCCATGGCTCGCCATAAACGAGTCAAATTTTTTATATCACTGTCATGGAGCTTGTTTCAATCCATACAAGCTATTCTTCAATCTGCAAACCATGTGTCCCTTTCCAGTCTTCTCAAATCCTTTTGGTTGCTCCATGTAGATTTCTTCATCTAGGTTTCCATGAAGAAATGCAGTCTTCAAATCTAGTTGTTCAAGCTCCAGATCCAAGCTAGCCACCAATCCGAGTACTACTCGAATAGAGCTCATCTTTACAACTGGAGAGAATATCTCGTCAAAATCTATTCCTTGCTTTTGTCCAAATCCTTTCACGACTAAGCGAGCCTTGTGCTTCAACAGCTTGTCACCATCTTTCTTAAGCTTGAACACCCATTTATTCTTCAAGGCTTTTCTGCCTTCCGAAAGCTTCACAAGCTCATAAGTTTCATTTTTCATCGTTGAATCCATTTCTTCTTGCATAGCTTTCATCCACTGTGATTTATCCTTATGAGTTTGTACTTCTTCAAAGCTTCTGGCTCTCCTTCTTCAGTGATGGTAATAGTTAGACAATAGGCAAACTTATGATTGATTTGATTGACGACCAACTTGAGTGTACCTATCGTATATTTTCAAAAGAACCGAGTGAGGCATATGATATATTTTCGTACTTGATAGTCTTTGTTTTTCGAAATAACCGAGTTAATAGTTGAGGTGTACTCTGGTGATCATTGGAATTCTTCTCGGCTTGATTGACTGATTTGAGATTAGTGTTGCTTGAAACCGTGTCCATGCTCATTTGTTTGTTTTCTCTTTTCTTTTGTTTTTGTTCTGGACGAACAAAGGTCTTAGTGTGGGGGAGTTGTTTGTCCCGTTTTTGTTGCTATTTTTCGTTGATATTTTGTATGTCGTTCCCCCATTTAAGGTCTTTTCTTAGGTCTTTCCAGTCCTTCTAGCCGTTTCTCGTGTTTTAGTCCTATTTTAGGTGTTTAGTATTTTCGTTGTTTTTCCTCCTATTTTCTCTTATTTTTGCGTTTGTTCGTTTGTGGTGGTTTTCATGTTACATATGGCGAAAGCGGTATTCGTTCCGGTTTCTAGGAGTCACAGGTTGGTTCGTGCAACCAGAGCATGCAGAGACTGAGTTTACAGCTCGGGCAGAACCCGAGTAAGGCTAACCGAGAGCACACGGGCCCAAAACATCAAATATTTGCCAAAATTGTGAATCTGCTCAGGGTAGCACCGCTAAGGTCGGCCCAGCTAGTGGCGCTATACATCATAGCGATGGGCTGCTATCGTGATTTTCAACCTTAGCGGTGATAACCCCTTAGCGCCGCTAACCCCCGTTTTGTTACTGAAGCTATTTTCTCGGAATTTTGAATTGTAGGGCTGTAGGATCGAGTTGGGGTCAGTTTGGAGAAATTGGAGACTTTGTTTTTCATGCTTTTTCACCACCAGAACATATTTTCTCTCTTGGTTTAACTTGGATTGAATTGTGGAGAGTAAAAACTCATTTTCTAGCTTTTGGATTTGGATTTCTCGTTGCTTTCTCGACATTGGATTTATATTAATCGTAAGCACTCCTTTTCTTATTTTGATATGATGATGTTTGTTTGGGTTGATGAATATTTTTGTGTTGATCTTACAATGAGTAGCTAATTCCATAAGTTAGGGATATGGGACGATTGTTTCGGTTCGTTTTTTATTACGTGTTCAATAATTGCTCTATCTACGCGAGTTGATCATATTCTAGGGTTAGTTGTCTGATCCCCAACCTAACCTAATATATCAACGTTTAGAACCGAGAGGGGAGACGTCGGTCGAACTAGGCTCGTTTGGAATAGACTTGTTCGTCATTGTATTGTCTATGTGTTGTTCGATTTGATGAGTTGCTCGTTTATGTTCACCTTCTTGTTACGAAGAGTTATTGAAGGTGAACCTCCATTCGAGTAGACAATTCAAACCCTTTAACCAAGCAATTGATTGCCCGGTTAATTGAGTCAAGAACCGAAAACGATTGTCCCCAACTCCCTAACTCATTTATAACGAAGTTAATCTATTTGCTTTTGAATTATCGAATTGCATTGCTGTAGAATTCATAGTTGATAATTAAAACCCAAACAATTGCATTAAAATGTTTAGCTTTTCTTTTCTCTTTTCTTGTGATTGAATATCCGTACAAATAATCCGACCAACCTTCTTTGAGAGACGACCTGGTGTACGAATCATTTGATTTAACTCCGGTAAAAATACTTAAAACATTTATCAACATCCACCCGATTAGTTGGAGCAAATGATAATCACGATGATCAGACGTGATATGGGATATTATATACGCAAGGCCGAACCGGTCAACTGTTGGAACCCACGAGGATCTCGATATGCACAAATCACAGACAAACATTCAA